TGAAAGACTCTTTGTCTTTTTCACAGTATGAACTTGATTTTCTTTTCTTTTTTATTTATTTTTATTTATTGACAGATAATGTGAAGGAGTCCCATCTGAGAGGATATTCCCAGCCAGAATATATAAGTAACTTGGTGATGGAGGTCTAGAGCCTCTGCCGGTGTTCAGCATATTAAACATTATTTTTCAAAAGATTCACAGGAGCGTGTGTTTCTTTCCAGAGTTATTATCTGTGCCTCTGAAACAGCACTTTCGGGAGGAGACCTAAAACTCTTCATTGAAACCCAGAATGATGAAATTCTTGCGTTCCAGCTCTTTAAAGGATTAGTTCACTCTAAAGGTAAAAGTCACTCGTTACAACACAACAGTGGAGAAAGAAAACTCATATTTCTACACCTACTCACTGTGCAAACAGCTCATAAAATGTGAAAGTTAGGTGTTTTTCATTTTGCTGTATCCTCCACTGAGTCCCCTCCCCCCCGTGGACCAGCAGTCCCCGGGCCCCACACTGCTTAAAAGGCCTTTATTGGGTTTCTCTGAGGGGCTCGGGGCCTGAGCTGCTGTTGTACGACAGAGAAAAGCAGCTTCTTAACAAACACAAGCAAAAATCAATAGTATCATAACAGCTGATATTTATTATTCATTAATAACGAGTTTACGGGTCCAAACCACCTGCTGAGCTGAGCTGAGGAAAGAAAAGAAAAATACTCATAAATATGAAATATGCAGATACTGTATGTGATATACACAGAGAGACTTTTGGTTTCATATCAAGATTATATTACAAGTTGATGTTTGTGTGTGATTCTTTTGCCGCCATGTTTTTATCACATTAATCATTTTGCGTTTTTTTAATAACAGAGTTCAGTTTGTGTCTCTGTCAGAACATTGTTCAAAATGAGGCTGTGCAGATCCTACAGCCAAGATTCATAAACAGTTATATATGTTTTTATTGTGCAGGTAAATGTTGTACGTTTAAGGTTTGGGTACATTATGTTCCCTCTACATTATTCTTAAACTGTTGATTTATTTAAATGTGTGATTCAGTCTTCACAATTCATTCCAACTGTTTCTGCACTTGTATGATGTTTTATTTATTTTGTAAATTTATCAAGTAAAGCATCTCTCAGTATGAGGTGATTTAAGTGTCATGTAAATAAAATGTATTGTTATAATTATTATTAACAGATGTGTTTAAAAGTCTGTTGTGGGTGTCTTATATCATGTCACTGCTTTTCCATGGAAATTATTTGTTGTTGTTCCACTGATGAACTTTAAGCTCATTGTTGGCTGATGGATAATGAATGAATGAATGAATGAATGAATGGAATCAAAAACTCTAAATTAGAAGTAGATGTGAGGTGAGGCGAGGAGGAACGCACTCACATTGTTTCTTAGATGGGTTGTTTCCAGATGGATTCACACATTTTCTGTGTGTGTAAGAAGTTTAGAAATTGAATGTACATTCATGGAACATATTAACCTGAAAAAGCCATAGTTTGATTGTTAGTAACTTCAGACTGTGAAGTATCAGACTGTGCTGAAGAAGACAAGAGAAGGTGACGTTAACATTCATCCTACAGTGAGGAACATTCACTTGAAGCACTTTAATTTCTGCAAATGGATGCGTGCTCCTTTAAGAGCTGATTCCAGCTGTAGATAATTAAGCTTAATTTTGACTATTAGCCCAGAACTGTATTCCTGGCAGTGTGGAGATCATTTTAAATAGCACTTAGATTTTATTTTGGGGGATTTTATTTGGGGAAATTAGACTTTTTTATTTTGACTCATGGTGAACTTTTTCTCAGGAGGGCACTGTATAGACTTTTGTCCTGTATTTTCTCTTTTCTTCTTAAATCTTGAAGTCTTAAATCTTTTCCCTCAGGTTTTAAACTTGTCTCAGTTGCTTAAGCTAAAACCATCCAGGACAGAGGAGCTGATGTAACCAGTGTCCAATCCACTCTCCAGATCCACATCAAGTATTTTACAGATGTCTTGGTTGAATGGACTTTCTTTTTTTTTATCGCTAATTGGCTCAGAGTTTCTTCTTTACTTTTCTCTAACTTAAAAAAAGCAGTGGCAGTTTTCACTGGCCCCGCCCACCGAGGCTTCAGGGTGTTTTCTGCCTCAGAGAAACGTTTGTTGGAGCTAAAAGCATCAGATACGAGGCCTCCCTGCGTTATTCCTTCATATGCTAGAGCATGTAGTCTTCATACCCTGCAAGGCTGATCAATATTAGAGTCACTCAAGTATCAAATCCTATTCATCACCGCTGGGAAGCAGCTTTCAGACGGACCTCCTTCACCTCCAGGCTTCTCCTGTTTCAGAGCAGCAGCTGCTCTGCTCCGCGCAAACATACATACACACATACACACACACACACACACACACACACACACACACACACACACACACACACACACACACACACACACACAGTATCCAAAGAGACAGAGACCAGAGACACACACACACACACACAGGCTGCTGCTCACAGCTCAGGTTGCACCTCTCCATTAAATCCATCTCTCCTTTAAATCTATCTCTGTTAAAGACGATTAACACCTCTATCAGCAAACACCAGCCTTAATCTGCTGACATGTTCCTTTAAAAGCACATGTTATTATTTTAAGCTATTTTCACGTTGTTTCACGTTAAAGTAAAAGGGGAAAAATATTTTCCAGCTTCCTTTAAGACTCAAAAACCCGATTTCTATTTTCTATTTCGATGTTTTATTCACCAAAGAAAAGCCGTCAGAGGATGAAGTAAAACGTGCACGGTTTATTTCAGCTTCTGTCGCTTACACAGACACATTTAAAGCACACTTTCACAAATGAAATATGATTTTTTTTTCTTCTCCAAAATAAATTAAGTTTAAATAAATAAGAGATAATAAAATAAAACAGAACAAAACGTAAAGTTTTTTTCTCAGAAGTGGTGAAAAAATATGTATAAATAAGGCCGATCTATTTCCCTTCATCAGAATATCTACAAAGTGCGCTCCACAAAGGTGTCAGTGATCATCATAATAACAATAATAATAATAATAATAATAATAATTTGATTGTCAAAGCATCATTGCAGTGAACTTGATACAACAGGTTTACACATCAGTGAGTTTCTAGGCCTAATTCACCATTAAACCGGTGGAAGAGGAACAAAAAAAAGAAAAAAAAAAACATTAAAAAACAAACAAAAAAAAAAAAACATTGACCCTACCTCTTTTTTTTTTCTTTCTTTTTTTAGCGTGTGTTTTTAAAAATCACCGCCATGAACGTGCCAACACTTGCGTAATGAGGTAGACACACAAGCTATATACCGTTGATAGTGTGTATTCGTGCGTGTGTTCGTGTTTCTTCTTATTGCAATGCATTCACTTCGAGGAAGGAGGGGCGGTGGAGGCGAGGGGGGGGGTGGAGGGAGGGAGGGTGGTAAGTTTGATATTTTTGGATGAGACGCACAGAAAACACCCCTCTCTCTCTCTCTCTCCCCCCACCCTCCACCTCCCCCTCCCCTTACGAGTAAACCATGCAATGGATTACAGTAGAGTTATTGTGCCTCATATATTCGCCACAGACAGACTTGTGGTCCGATCCTGCCCCCCCCCCCCCCCCCCCCCCCACCCACACAAAACAAAAAAAA